TCGAACAAAAAAAAAAAAAAAAAAAAAAAAAAAAAAACAGTAAAACTGTGGCTTTTGACAGGAAGTGAATGAATATGGAAGACTTACTGATGAGTGAAGCAAGTCAGGCTATGAAGGAGAGGCATTATATGTTCCTGCTTAATATATAGAATTGTCTACACTCTATGACCGAAACTAATTCACTAAAGGATATAGAAACACAGTATATAGATGTAAATACCAGATATAGTATGTATGCAAGAGGAGGGTCTGAGGAAGGACATTTAGAAGAAAAATAGGGAGGCAAAGTATTGATGTCACAGGGAGGTGTGGTATTGTCTGTTGAGGATGTTTTGTGGTTTTTGTCAACTGCGTTGGGGAGAGATGTTCACCTGATGAAATATCCATTTTGTAAGACAAACAATAATGTGAATGTATAAAAGAAAATGAAATGAAAAATAAATAAATAATAAATAAATAAATAAATAAATATTGGGGCCAGCAGTTAGCGTAACGGCTGTCACTGGACTCCCATGTAATCGACCGCAGTTCAAGTCCTGGACCCGGTAGCTTAAACTCACGTCAGGTGCGAGTGCGTGCGTGCCGAAGATTCTGAGAGGAGAATGGAGGAGAAGGAACTGTGGTGTGGCCATCCCCTTTGGGGGACGATTTCTCGCTTTCTGTCTCTCTGTCTCTTTCTGGTGAGCACACGCACCCTATAGCAAAAACCTCTCAGAAAAAAAAAAATTAAGAGTTCAACCCTATGGATGGTGATTAAGTGCTATGTGAAAAGAACTGGATGTATTTCGAATCTCAGCCTCAGAGGCTTAAAAACTACACTGAGTACATATGCATACATTCCTAGGACCTTAATGGGACAGAGGAATGGAAAAAAAGGGATGTGGTGTGACCAAGTCCCACCAATAAAAGCCACTCTCTCTCTTTTTCTCTGATTTATGCATGTACACTTTGGCATAAAAATAAAAAACACAGTGGTTAAGGTGGCTGGATCCCATATGGCCAAATGCATAGTTTGAATCCAGAATCCCGTCACTTGAGAAACATGCTGGGCAGGTGTGTGTGCATGCCCATGCCCCATTAGGGGGGACAGGGGTTGCTTCTTCATTTTCTCTCTCTCTCCCCCTTTCCTTCTCTGTCTCTTTTTGGTGAGTGCATGTGCCCTCTGGCAAAAAATTTAAAAGTAAATAAATAAATATTTAAGAAAGGAAAACACTTGGGGCTGGCAGATGATGTGGTGGTTGAGGTGCTAGACTCCCACATGGCCAACCACAGCTCAAGTCCAGGATCTGACTTCAACTGCCTTACTTTCTCACTTTCTTTCTCACTCTCTCTCGTCAAATTAAATATAATAACAAACAAATAATTACACTTTAAAAAAAAGAAAGAAAGAAGAAAAAAAAAAAAAACTCATTCTAATTTACATCGCCAGGCAAGCCCAGAAGCCAATGGTTAAGTCAACTGAATTCTACACAGCTGACTGTGGTTTGGATCCTGGCCATGGCAGCTTGAAAAACATGCCAGGTGCATGTGTGTGGAGGCTCCCAAATCCTGAAAGGATGAAGAAATGATGAAGAAAGGACTGCAGTGAGACCACACACCCCATTAGAGGGTGTTTTTTTCTCCTCTTTCTTCCTTGCTTTCTCCCTAATAAGTGCATGTGCCTTCTGGCAATTTAAAAAAGAATATAACCAAACTGATAAGTGATCTTAGAAAAAAGAGCTATTACCTGGAGTACTTCAGAAAAGTCCTACCTTTTCTTTGCAGCTGGAGAGCATGCTAATAATGCTAAGACACACTGACTGCACTGAGAGCGCCGGGGACCAGTCTTCTGTCAGGATGGATAAACAGATATGACCATTGCTATAAACGTGAGGATGAACAGGAATATTTTCACCAGTAAACATGACCTGAGAAAAAAGAAAATTCCATTGTCACTCAAATAGTCTCTATTACCAAACACTAAAATATTCTGCACAGAGAACAAGTATTACTTTTGAAAAACAAACCAATCAAAGTCAGTATCAGGAATGAGATGAACTGCTTGTTTGTGTGTTTTCATTAACCCAGCAAGTATCGTTTCCACTGTATGGATATCCATATAGTAGGAGGGAAGACCTAGATTATATTTCAGTTATTCATAAATTTCCTGAACAATTTCTAAATTATTACTTATTTTTTTACTAGTGAAAGACATCTACATTTATAAGAATGGTTTTTCAAATTTTATGTAATCCGCTCTGTATATTCTAAACCAGAGTACTCAATTTTGAGACAAAATGTATTATACATGGTAAGAATACCCTCAAATACCTGGACCAGGGCTAGCATCTAAGGTACCATATACTGGGTTGTCAGAGAAGCCATGATGTATTTTTTCTATGCAAAAACGAGTCATGACTTTTCTAACAACCCAATCAAAGGGATATGGACTGTATGCTATACATCCCAACCCCCTCTAAACACACACACCATTAAGATGGGCACAAACTGTTAGGTATTAATCAGCAAATAACTACGTCAAGATTTTTTTTAAAAAGTCAACTAAATATCCCAATTGCGTGTTTTTCTCTACTTTTCCTCTTATTTAACTTTCTAATAGTTTTTCCTTTCCCTGTCTTTCCTCTACACTGTTTTGAAAGTAGTAAATCTATTATTTCCTTCATTTGCTCTAATAATGCAACAAATATCCTAACACTAATATTTCTTAAACTTGTCAACCTAAGTATCCAAAGAGCTGGAGAATAAATTCATACATCCTGAGGAATCTACCTACAGGCATAGTCCAAAGTAGTTCTGTGAAAGCAGAAATCTTATCTTTAAGGATATAAACATGTTATTCTCCAGAAGTTTACATAAAATATATTTTGTTTATATTTGACATAATCCACTAATCTTTAGGTAAACTGTATACTATAGCACTATATTTATTCTGTAATTTGGCATAATTCCTCATTCCTGACCTTACCATTAAAAAATTTAAAAATCAGGGGGCTGGCAGGTGGCATGGTGGATGAGGGCGCTGGACTCCCACATGGCTGATGGTGGTTTGAGTTCTGTACTCGGCAGCTTGATTTCCCACTTTCTCTCTCTTTTCCTTCCTCTATGATCACATTCAAATAAATAAATAAAGTTAAATAAAATAATTTTTTTTTGGGGGGGGAGAGGTTTTCACTATAGGGCACGTGCGCTCGCCAGACAGACAGAGAGAGACAGAGAGATAGAAAGCGAGAAATTCACCCCCCAAGGGGGATGGTCATGCCGCAATCCCTTCTCTTCCATTCTCCTCTCGGGGTCCTGGGCACGCACGCACACGCGCTCGGTGTGAGTTTTAAGCCACCGGGTCCGGGACGCGAACCGCGGTCGACTACGTGGGAGTCCAGCGACATAGCCATTACGCTAACTGCTGGTTCCCAATAAAATAATTCTTAAAAAAAATTTTAAAATCAAATGAAGACCTGGTTAGCAAGCAGGTGGCATGGAGGTTAAGGTGGTTGGATTTCCATAGCTGACTGAGTGATTCTAGTCCTGGACCCAGGAGTTTGGTAAACAAACTCGGTGCACGTGTGTGCATGCCCAAAATCCATACAGAAGGGGTTTCAGTGTGGCTATCACTCCAGCAAGAGATTTCTCTCTTTCTCTCGTCAGCAAGCACACACACCCTATAGCAAAGTTAAAAGGGAAAAAAAAGTAATTGTATATATAATAAATACAACTTTAAATTCCAGAATGCAACTTTCAGATTCTGATTCAGTAGATATCATGAGATTTTTATAAAGTTCATTGATCTAAACCAATAATTCCCAAATTAATTTGCAGTATCTTTCAGTCCTGCAAACTATCTCTCATCCAAGTACAGAAGAACAGCAGTAAGAAAAAAAATCCTGCTTTAAGTTACAACAGAATCTGATGAAATATATATTGCTCTAGGCATACCTTCTTCTTTTCTTTATACAGCAGAAGTAAGTAGCTACAATAGTGTAGTAAGTGTGGCTAGGTTAAGATATACTATAGTTCAATATAGAATATGCCTTGTGAAATTATCATAAGCTAAAGATCTGTAAGTATTTTAACATCAACCTAGAAATCTGATTTTATTACAATTTTGCTAATATTTACATTTTTTAAGAATGTGGACTAATTATTTTCTTTAAAGAATTTTTTTTTTTATTTAACTTTACCTATTTATTTTAATTTGACCAGAAAGACAGAGAGAGAGAAAGTGAGAAACCAAGCCAGCAGGTCCAGGACTCAAACCACGGTCGGCCATGTGGGAATCCAGCACCCTTAACCACCACGCCACCTGCTGCCCCCACTAATACTTACATCTTAACAAAGCACTATTTCATACAAGTAGGAATCTTCTAATATTTCAAACATACTAACATATGGGACTCATTTTCTTGGCTCAAGCTAATATAAGACAGCAAAAGGAATTTTCTTCAAAGGAATGAGTTTCCAAACTTGTATACAATTCTTTTTCTTTAAATTTTGACTATCCACCCTCTATTCCAGCTAAAATAAAGCTGAAAAATTAGACCCTCAAATTAAGGAAAATCAAGTTACTTGTATAGTCCAGTTGCAGAAGATCCCCTGAAAGGACTCTGATGTTGGAAAGGCCATGTGATAAACATGCCATTTATCTCAACCATATCAGTACTAGTGCTCTCCGTCAACACTCTTTGCTAAAAAAGTACTGCTCTTATACGGAAGTAACTGCTTAAGTGGCCATGTACTTCCATACTTTAAGTATGCCCGCATAACTTTTTAATGAAATTTTATTCTTTATGAATGTGAATAGCTTATTATGTTATATGCATTTGATATTCCCAGAATGTGTTATGGATGTCTGGAACAGGGCTTTACAATCTCAAAGAAAACGCATCTGCTTTGGGTTGTTTTGCTACAAAAAGCCACCCGATCAGTAAGAAATTTTCATTAAGAACACAGGTAATGCCTGAGTTGATTCCCAGGCCACAAGGATATTTTTCTTCCCAGTAAAGTCTCTTTATCAAGAGTCCATGGGATCAGTAGTTAGCATAATGGCTATGTCACTGAACTCCCACCTAGTCGACCGCGGTTCGAGTCCCAGACCCAATGGCTTAAACTCACGCCGGGTGCGTGTGCGTGCGTGCCCAAGATCCCAAGAGTAGAATGGAGGAGAAGGGATTGTGGTGTGGCCACCCCCCCGGGGGGTGATTTCTCGTTTTCTGTCTCTGTCTCTCGCTGTCTTTCTAGTGAGCGCACGCAACCTATAGCAAAAACCTTAACCACCACGCCACCTGCTGCCCCCACTAATACTTACATCTTAACAAAGCACTATTTCATACAAGTAGGAATCTTCTAATATTTCAAACATACTAACATATGGGACTCATTTTCTTGGCTCAAGCTAATATAAGACAGCAAAAGGAATTTTCTTCAAAGGAATGAGTTTCCAAACTTGTATACAATTCTTTTTCTTTAAATTTTGACTATCCACCCTCTATTCCAGCTAAAATAAAGCTGAAAAATTAGACCCTCAAATTAAGGAAAATCAAGTTACTTGTATAGTCCAGTTGCAGAAGATCCCCTGAAAGGACTCTGATGTTGGAAAGGCCATGTGATAAACATGCCATTTATCTCAACCATATCAGTACTAGTGCTCTCCGTCAACACTCTTTGCTAAAAAAGTACTGCTCTTATACGGAAGTAACTGCTTAAGTGGCCATGTACTTCCATACTTTAAGTATGCCCGCATAACTTTTTAATGAAATTTTATTCTTTATGAATGTGAATAGCTTATTATGTTATATGCATTTGATATTCCCAGAATGTGTTATGGATGTCTGGAACAGGGCTTTACAATCTCAAAGAAAACGCATCTGCTTTGGGTTGTTTTGCTACAAAAAGCCACCCGATCAGTAAGAAATTTTCATTAAGAACACAGGTAATGCCTGAGTTGATTCCCAGGCCACAAGGATATTTTTCTTCCCAGTAAAGTCTCTTTATCAAGAGTCCATGGGATCAGTAGTTAGCATAATGGCTATGTCACTGAACTCCCACCTAGTCGACCGCGGTTCGAGTCCCAGACCCAATGGCTTAAACTCACGCCGGGTGCGTGTGCGTGCGTGCCCAAGATCCCAAGAGTAGAATGGAGGAGAAGGGATTGTGGTGTGGCCACCCCCCCGGGGGGTGATTTCTCGTTTTCTGTCTCTGTCTCTCGCTGTCTTTCTAGTGAGCGCACGCAACCTATAGCAAAAACCTCTAAAAAAAAAAAAAAAGAGTCCAATAGAGCAGTGTTCAGGCAGTGCCAAAAGATGAAGACCTGACTATCAGCAACTATCGTGGACAGAAACACACAAAGGCTATTACAACATGCTTTGAGTGGCCAATTCTGAGCAGAAGGAAAGTAGTATTCTTCTTGGGGAGAACTGGTTATAATTACATCACATGGACTGAGAGCCAAGATGTGTATGTGAACCAAGAGAAAATGACAGAAGAGGAAGACAAGGGATGAGTGGCAGTAGAAGACACCAACAGCAGAAGCAGCAGACGTTCTACAAAGAGGAGAGCCAAAAATCAAGAAGACAGAAATAGCTGTGAAGTCAGGGAAGATGAAAATAAAAATAAATCAGATCTCATTAACCCTCAAATAAAAAAGGTTATTTATAAAGGGCTTTAAGTATGCTGCATGTAGGGCAAATACAATCACTCTGAAAGTTTTAGTGACCAAAATTAGAGATCTGCACATGTTACAGGTAACCCCTAGGGCCTAACTGGCCAGATACAGAACTTTAGAAGTTTGTCTAAACATGGAAAGGGTGGGTTTACATGTCAGAGATGATTTCTTAAAATAAAAGAAAAAAATATTTTCAACAGTTTATTCATGTAGAAAACTTTACAGTTTCCACAGTTTTATTGTAAACTT